CATATGACAATCTTTTTCAAGATTGACAGTAACTAATCTTATTTGTGATATAAAAATAGTGGTTCTATATTGAAATTTGAAAATGTTTTTACTTCTATTTTGAACAATTTTCCATTATATTTCGAGCCTGTTTGGTAGCACGAAATTCGGTTGTTTTGGCTTATTCTGCTGAAATTTACGAAGTTCAGGCTGAAGTAGCTGCATTGGCTGATTCTGCTGATTTAAGAAAAAATCATTTTTAAAATATATTTTATGAATAAAATAAAGAAAAAATTATATGTAAAAATAGCTAAAATGATAATCTACAATAACTTCAGCCAATACAGCCAGAAAAGTAACTTCAACCTTACTCTTTCTGCTTATTACACAATTCAGCACGCGAAAGTAAAAGTTAAATGTTTGGTGAAAAAATTGGCTGATAAACCTGATAAGCCGAAAAACAGTGTTGTCGGGGCCTCGAAATTGTAGCGTTTTTGTTTTTTTTGTCGGGATACCTTTTGTGTATCTATTTAAGATAAACAATTTTGGAAGTTGTCCTTTCGCATTACTCTTGATTTTATCTAAAATTTTAAAATATTTTTTCATGATATCAATTTACATTAATCGTGCATGCATAAATTTTTATGATTAAATTAGCTTTCACTTTCTTCATCCTTCGCAAGAAACAATGCTAAAATTAAGTAAATTATGCTCAGACTGTGTTCTTTATTTTAATTTAAACTGTGAGGTTTTTTTTTTGTTAAACTTTTTCCTTCTTCTATTATGCTCCTTAAGTTACATATTTTAAAATTTTAGCCATAAATATGGCTTGAATAAAAAGACATTACTTGCTTACCTAAAAGATTTATTTATACGGAGTATAAAGAATGTTCAACATATAAAAATAGATGAAATCTTGAAAGTGCTTTTCATAGATGCATGCAGTGTTACCGTGTATACGTCTTCTACTTCTTTTACGCATACATTCATAGAATCTTATGAAATAATTAAGATAGTATATTTATATACATTTGTATTTATTTATATTTCCATTGCAACACATCAATTTATTTGCATTACAGTAAGGACATTCCCAAAACATTCAACATTAGTAGATTACCTTTATAACCACATAAAAAAGTCACCAATTTCATAAGAGTGCTTTTTACTACTCCGTATTTGATTCTACAGACATACTGGGAGCTCGATCATCTACGTGCTTGGTCTGAAAGCAAGGATTGATCATGAGATGATACTTGAAGCTCTTTGTCCATCTTCAGCAACCATTTTGAAGAAGTAACTATGCCACCGAGTATAAGCACTTAGTGAGTGGTGACCCAAAACTTAAAACAGTCAAAGAGGCAACTTCGCCCATTATTAACAGAGAATGCAAACAAAATACTACTCCGTTAATTGGATTTTGATGAAACCTCCGTCGTCTTAGCCCATGCACCTTGCTTCTTTTCAGCGGGCCGGGAAGGCATCCTCCCCGCCGGCCGCTGCTTTTTATCGTTCTCTCCTTCTCAATCATCATGATAACTCCAGCACAAATCAATCCATAAATCCATTCAAAAAGAATCAGCACATCTTCAATTATTATATCCCTCTCTCCTTTGTTTGATTCGGCGGGCTATCAAAAATGTATAAACAACACCGGTAAATGAGTCAATTCAAATGGGTGTGCTCTTATTCCTCTTTAAGAACTCTGTTCCAGTTATATAATGGCAAGCTCTTAGATTATAAAGGTTGACACAGGAATGATAGAGCCACGGACTACGGTATATATATCGTTCCATACGGAAAGGATTGGGATATAATTTCTTTTGAGATAATAATATTTGTCTTTTCATTTCCCATGTGTTCTTTTTTAAAGATTTACAATCTCAAGGAAAATTCTACGGTGCCTTGCTTAATTTACTATGTACCGGTACCCAATTTTTTAAGCGAATCAGATTGAAGTATATTTCCATGTCATATCCTTGTCACGTTAGTATAGGGTGCCTTGCTTAATTTACTATGTACCGGTATCCATGTCATATCCATGTCAATCTCAAAGTGTCTTTTACTCTTCTCTAGCATTCTCCATGTAGTTGCCCGATGGTTATTAGGGAGTGTTTGCAATTGCTTTAACTTTAAAAAAGTGATTTTTTAAAGTGATTTTGGGGAAAAGTGATTAATAGTAAAAGTTGGTAGTGTTTGAGAAAAAAGTGATTCTGAAAAAGTAAAAGTTGGTAGTGTTTGGTAAAATAAGTACTTTTTGTGTAATAGAAAAAGTGAAAAGCAGTTTAAAGCACCCCTCCACCTGCTTCCAGCTTTTAGCTTTTAAGTGATTAATTTAAGCAGAAACTGTCATTTGAAAACACTCTTTTTAAATTTTTTTAAGTCAAAAGCTGAAAAGTGCTTTTTTTAATCAACTGCAAACACTCCTTTAATGTAGTTGCCACTTGCCATATTTTTTTCTTCCGTACTTCGGTGCATCAGGGAACAGTTGGTAGTATTGTGCTGGGCCTATTTAATTACAGTAGCTACTGTTGTCAAATTGACTTAGATTGACTTAGATTCCAGAATCTTCTAAGTTTTGGCGGGAACTTCCTCAAGAAGCTTTCTTTTAATTAATAAATAGATTAATTAATAATAGATTAATAGATTTTTTTAAAGTCCAAATATGAGGGATGAAGTTCTAAATGCGGATAAACCCGGGTCCGTTATAAATAAGTTGTATGTATAAAAATTAAACTGTTTTATATTAGAGATATTATCCAAAATAGGACTAAAAGAGTTAGAAAATTCCAAAATAGGACTACCATGTCTTTATTCCCAAAATAGGACTAATTACTGACATGTTTTGGCAGTACCAGACTTCAAACATGGCAGTATTTTCGAAACTTGACAGTAATTACTCCTATTTTGGGAATAAAAACATGTAAGTCATATTTTGAAATTTTCAAACTCTTTTAGTCCTATTTCGGGAACTTTCCCAAAATTACCCGAAATAGGACTAAAAGATTTTAAAATTCCAAAATAGAACTGCCGTGTTTTTATTCCCAAAGTAGGATTAATTACTGTCATGTTTTGCCAGTACCAGACTTCAAACATGACAGTATTTTCCAAACTTGGCAGTAATTACTCCTATTTTGTGAATTAAAACATGTCAGTCCTATTTTGGAATTTTCAAACTGTTTTAGTCCTATTTCGGGAACTTTCCCTTTATATAATTCCGAGTACATATTTTTAAATTACAATTGAATTAGTGTATTATGTATAAAAGATTAGAATATTTATGAAGTATAATTCGGAGTATAGAAATATGAGTAATTATCTATTTTATTTATTACACTTACTAAGGAAAAAAAACGAGGTTATGTCTAAAATATTACTAAAAAAGAGCTATGGACAGAAAAAGGACCTTTTTCCATTTTCCAAAAATGAGACTAAAAATGGGTTAGAAGACTATTATACCCTTATATTAATAGAATCTCACCCATTAGTGCTACAGTGACGCCACAATGACCAATAACATTATAGTGACTAAAATCCGTTAGTGACCAAAAATCATCCGTGACGAAAAATTCAAAAATCTGTTAGTGACCAAAATCATTAGTGACCAAAATAGATTAGTGACCAAAAATTTTGCCCAGTAACCAGCGTCCACCCGTCAGTGACCAACATTCATCCGTCCAGTGACAGTTACCTGATTCGTCCAGTTACAGTTATCTGACTCGTCCAGTTACAGTTACCCGACACGTCAAGTTACCCAACCCGTCCAGTTACAATTACCCGATCCGTCCAGTTACAATTACCGGACCCATTCAATTATGACCCGTCTAGTTATAATTACCCAACCTGTCTAATTATAATTACCCGATTTTGACCATAGTTATTCAATCCAAGCAATTGTCTTTATCGGTTCGATCGTTTACTTTTACTGACCATCACTCCGGCCACCACCGATGAGGACCACCTCCGGCGACAACCGGCGACCACTACTGGCTGGCAACCGTCGATGAACAACACCTCCGTCCACCGTCAACAACCACCACTGCCAGCACCACGTCATAGCTCCCTGTCTCACCCAACCCCTCCCCTGCTTCACCCCACCCCCCTCCCAAGTGCCACGCCACCCCTGCCACACCTAGCCCTCTTCCATGTGTCACCCCAGTAGTCCTCAGCCCACACAAAGACCCTCCATGGTCCACGTTGTAGCCTCCAACACCACCGCTCGAGATGGCGGTGGAATCTGAGGGACGGAGGAGGCGAATCAAAAGTTTGGTGGCGGAGGCGGCGATTCGAAGCTGGGTGGCGGCGCCGACGAGCGGTGGCAGAGCGACGGAGGGGGAGAATCAAAGTTGAGCGGCGGCGGCGACGAATCAAAGTTGGTGGTAGCAGCGAATCGAAGCTGGTGGTAGCGACAGCAAGTTGATGACGATCGGATATATGAGAGAGATGATCTAGCTAGGGATTCAGAGTTGAGAACTCGAGCGATCAGATCTCAAAATGGGAGAATTTGAGATGTTAGGGCTGTTTTAATTTACTGGAGTGTACGAAGTATATCACAGGGGTAAATTAGGGCATTCAATTATAATAGGTCTCATATTTGTCCAGATTTTAAAGTGCTCAGAATTTTGTCATTTCGATACCTATTAATCTTATTCGTGTCATTATTTCAAAAAAAACCTCTTACTTTTAGGGAGTGTTTGCAACTGCTTCTGATTAAAAAAAGCACTTTTGGAGATGCAAGGAAAAAGTGATTAGTAGGAAAAGTTGATAGTGTTTGAGAAAAAAGTGATTTTGAAAAGTAAAAGTTGATAGTGTTTGGTAAAATAAGTGCTTTTTGTGTAATAGAAAGGGGAAAAACACTTTTCACACGCAAGCCGAGAAAAAATAAAAATTGGTAGTGTTTGGTAAATAAGTGCTTTTTTAAGCCAAAAGCTGAGAAGTGCTTTTTTTAAGTGATTGCAAACACTCCCTTAATCTTATTCGTGTCATTATTTAAAAAAAAAAAGCCTCTTACTTTTAGGATAACATATTCCTAAATAATGTCCTACAAGTAAAATTCAGCGAATTTTTGGACAAAAATGCCCTTTACAATGCCGTTGTCATATTGGCAGGAGATAATGAACACCACACATCACTACTTGTTTTTTTGTTTCAAAAGCAGTACTTTAAATATGTATACTACATAAGAATTTAAGATACATCTCATACAATTAAACAACTTTAATTAAAGTTCTTAACACATCCTAACTAGGGATACACACAAAAAAAATAACAATTCTCAACGACCGGTCCACTTGACTTCTTTCCTATGGTCGGATAATTTGTCCAATTGTAATTTGTCTCTCATCTAAAATTCTCCTTCCCATATACCTGCATTATTGTTACATGTAAAAATAATTAGGTGTGCACTTCATTCGGAGTAAGAAGGGATATAAATTACATGGCTCAAATATTAATCATACATAGTTACCTTTTCTGAGTAATAAAACAAAATGTGTATTTTAGGATGTTTGGTCATGTATAAGTGTATAACACAAAAATTCGCATTGAAGATGTTTTTACTTTAGATTGTAATTTTCTGGTCTGATCTGGTCGATATAGTCTAGTCTGTTTAAGTCTGATTTGGTCTGAACTGGACTGATCTGATCTATGTGTTTTTACAACTATCGAAGTCTAATCTAATCTCTTCTTGTCTGTTTTAGTCTAGCCTTTTTAGTTTGATATGCTTAAGTCCATTGTGTTCTAATTTGGTTTATTGTATGACTCGTCAGTCCAAGAAAAAACATCCTTACTCTAAGGCTCAATTTACACAATGTTGGAGTACTAAAATAAGAATGAACAAACTTCAATATAAAGATATTAGATTAGTCCTCCTATGAGATTGATCTTTTAAGATGAAATCTTGAGTTTTAAAATAACATGGGAGTCAAATATTATAACAAATGAGTGGAAAAGAGCGACAGTACATCAGGCAATATATAAAGATATTGAGTTATTTGGCTCATTTGTCCTATATACGAAGTATTTAGTTAATCTTTTAAGTCTTAATCCACATTAAAACTTTGTATGAAGAATAATTGCAAGAAAAAATTAGGGAAGAAGTCAGTACATCTAAAATGAAACTACAGGAGTGTTTGCGGTTGCTTAAAAAAGCGCTTTTCAGCTTTTGACTTAAAAAAGTTAAAAAGAGTGTTTTCAAATGACAACTTCTGCTTAAATTAATCAGTTAAAAGCTAAAAGCTGGAAGCAGGTAGAAGGGTGTTTTAAACTGTTTTTCACTTTTTCTATTACACAAAAAATACTTATTTTACCAAACACTACCAACTTTTACTTTTTCAGAATCACTTTTTTCTCAAACACTACCAATTTTTACTATTAATCACTTTTCCCAAAATCACTTTAAAAAATCACTTTTTAAAAGTTGAAGCAATTGCAAACACTCCATACATTATGTTAGTTTAATTGTGTATGGACGTACCTTCCAAGCATCATAACAGTAGCTTGAGGATTGGTTCCAGGAGAGTTGACAAAAGTGGAACCGTCAACGACCCGCAGGGCTTTGACCCCAATAACCTTATAGTCCTTATCAACAACTTTATGGACCTGGCAGCCGCCATGGTAGTGCCATATGGTCATGACAGTGTCGATGCAGAACTGCTCGAGTGACACGGTGGCGCTGACGTGTTTCGGTCTAAGGTTTAAGGGCAGGGTCAACATGGCACTGATTAGGGCCTGTGGTGAGGTTAGAGGGTAGCGGAACTTGGAGAAAGACCGTGACCGGATGACCCTGGATATGATTTCCATCCCTTCAACACACCTGCGTAGGTCACGTGGGTCTTTGAAGTAGTTGAAGGTCACCCTTGGGTTCTCTGAAGGGTTCCTGCTTTCGAGCTCGAGATAGCCCGTAGAGAATGGGCCCGCTACCTGTTAAAATATTTAGTTAATTAATTAATATTCTAATACTTATTATGTCATTGGGGTTATATATTATTATTTGAGTTTCTATAGTCTTAGACTTGTAATTGATTTAATAATATGCTGAGCATGCGTTTGAATTTGTCTAGGATTAGAGTTTTTCAACCCTCTCATCTATTTCGATATATGTGTGCTTATCTCATATGGAATAATTACGTACACAATATAATTGAGAGATTCCTACTTATCAAGAATCTAAATGTATCATTGTATAATTGGGTATTAATTACATGATGCCAATATTGAAATCTAATCTTACACTACCTTCTCCAGTATTATGCCAGCATCGACACTAGCTTGTATGGATCCGGTTAAGGTTGCTCTTGCTGAAGTTGTGTTTAAGCTGGTGTTGACCGTCGTAGGGATAGTCACAGGCTTGCTGCTCTGGATCGGAATAGAAAGCACTTCATTAATGATACTAGTATGTATTTTCATTTATCATCACAATATGTATGTGTAAACTAATAAGAAAAGAAAATCATTTAAAAAGTACTAAAATATAAACGAAATGCGCGCATAAATAAGATCGATCATTATGTTCTTCCTAAGATATGACTCACAATTCCTACTTGGGAAGTTGTATGCTATTAATTTGATCAAATCTACTATTTTGAACATAAAATATACTATCGTAGTTACTTGGCTATTATCTATGCTTTAGTTTTATTTGGAATAATTTCTCTGGGAAAAAATAAACTTCTAAAAAGTGTGTGGTGGTAATTTGAAAGGTGTCAATGACTCCACTTGATTGCATATGGCCGTATGGGGCACTAATGCATTCAGAAGAACTTCACACTATTTCATGTAGATGAAGCACTTTTTGCTATGAAGAAAAAACTTTGATATATTTACAAGAATGTTACTCCCTCCTTCCCAATTTGTAAGACACTTTACGATTTAGAATATCTTACCGACAATAAAGCAAACGGATCATTACATGTCCCGGATTCGGATTCTGGAGGATTTTAATGGAGTTTAGAATTCCGTCAGAATCCAGGTGTCCCCAGTTTGGATTTCTGTGGAGTCCATGAAAATAAGGGTGTCCTCAAACATTCCATGGATTTCTATTGTTACTAATTTGGATGGATTTTAATGGATTTTGATGGAATTCTACATACAAAAACAATCCACCACAATATTGTAGATTCCCCTCGGATTTCAAAATCCATTGTCATTTAAAATCCATCAAACTCATAATCCAGGACACTGGACACCCCTCTAAAAGCTTTACAAAGTCGCAAAAACCATAATCAAATTTGATAAACATTGAATATATAAAGTAAGAAATTAAGATTGTTTTGTGTTGACCAAGTGAATAGGAAACATGTCTTACAAATTGGGACTGAGAGAGTACTATATATGTTTGGTTAATGTATCGTTGACATATTAGAATTCATTAGAGCATAAATCTGATTTACTTTTACTTTCATGAAAAAACACTTTTTATGTGATCTATATATTATATTGATGAATACTTGCAAGCACTAAGCCAATATACTACCTCCATTCCAAAATTAAATTTTCGTCCACCATTTATATATTCAATAATATATAAGCATTAATAGAGTTCATGTAACTTTATCGTCAGCCAAATAGCGTAAATCCAAGAACATATGAGCGGGGACGGGGAGTAGTACATCGTGAAAAGTGTTTAATTTCTAAATGTTGGTAAATGGAGTCATGTAGATCTAAGTAAAAAAATGTAAAAAAGGTGGATGTAAATCAGTTTAAATATGAAAATGAGAAGTGGCCAAAATTCCTTGTTATGTCTGAACTAGTTTGTCCTAAGCTCGTGTTACATGGTACATGTTTGTTCTATATGTAGTATTTTAAAGTGAGATCTCATCTAATCTGTTTTATGTCCCATCTGGCCTTTATCTAATTCAGTCTTGTGTGGTCTCAAATTAAAACCTAGTTCACTTGAAAATTGGCCTTTATCTAATTCAGTCTTGTGTGGTCTCAAATTAAAACCTAGTTCACTTGAAAATTTAGGCTTTGTGATTAAGATAATTTTTTATAGATTTGGGTATAATGGGCTAACCTGATTAGCCAGTCTTTCAAAGTCAGCAGCCATTCTGTGTATCCAAGCCAGCTCGAGGGACCCACTGGCTGCTTCTATGTAGCTGTCAAACCTTGTAATCCCAACCACCTGAATTAGTGAAACCTCAACGGGCTGTGGAGAAGGAATAAACACCGCATTCATTGGGTTATCGGACATACCCTGCCCAACCATGGGCTGGTTTAGTATCACCTCAATGTTTAGGGCTTTCAGTTGCTGGGCCGATCCAATTCCGCTTAGCATCAACATCTGTGGGCTTCCCAATGCACCGGCCGACAGGATGACCTCGTTATTGGGCCCATTGTTCAGGTAAGCCAGGTGACGGTTCCCGCCGGAGTCTCTGTAGAACACCGCATAAGCTCTAGGATCTCCTGCATCGTTATCAACATGTCATCTTCTCAATAAAAGTATTTTATCTTCTCAATGACATGGTTAATTTTAACTTCTTGTTTCTTCAATTTGCAATTTTCGTTATAAATTTCTTGCGGTACATGATGTATGGTGTTTAACAACTCAATTTATACGGTACAAAACAGATACTATAATAGATTAGAAAGATTTGCCAAAAACATGAAAAAACTCAATTTATATGATTCATCCGGATGTACCGTTTTCTTTTTGTAATTCTTTACAACTTCCGGCCTAATTATCATAGGTCCAATTGAACTCTCTGCATCTTCTCTTTTGATGTTGCTCCCAGCGCACGAGACTTCTTCCTTTCATTTTTCTCTTTATTTCAATAACTATAAAACTTCTCAAAATGGACTCAATTTGAATTTTAAAATATTAAAGGTAATGATAATCATTGAAACATCTTAATCACTCTATTTAACTACTATGTATATTTTATTTTGCAGAACAGTTCTTTTTTGCATTGATTTAAACCTTACGATTTTCATATCAATGAACATTTTGTAATTTATGTAGGCTCATTTGGTACTGATATTATGCTCATTTTAAAATGTCATATCAATGCATATTTCAAAAATATCATAGATATAAAATAATAAATTTTCATAAAAGAAAAGAATTGAATTAGAAGATATGAAGCAGAGATCTTGATGTTCATTGTTAGCCTCCTAATACTCAATAAAATAGGTCAGATGCTCACTAAAGGTACACTAATGTTCATTTAGTTGAATATGTGATTTTTCGCTTAAATTACAAAACGCCATAAAAAAATTGGATTGTATTAGTTAATGGGTTGTCTTCATCCGTTGGGCTGGATGTACCTACACCCGGATGTAGGATATAGGGGCTGATTTAACAAAAAAATGGGTATGCCTTTTTACTTGAACTGAAATTTGCTAGTCTGGTCTGGTCTGTTTAAATTTGGCCCGATCAGGTCTGAATTAATCTGATCTGATCTGGTTTATTTAAGTCTGGTCTAGTCTGCTTAACTATGATTTGACGTTGAATTGAAAACAATACATGTAAAAACATACTAAACCAGATCCCACGGTCCCACCTACCCTTCCTTATATCCGGCACGTTTTGTACTTACATATAAACCAAATTGCTATAAGTAGAACTAAAAGAACAAATTGTTCAAACAAGATTACATTCCATTAGCATATTGGGGACTACAAATTAGTGAATGAGCCTCCCACCTACCCATTGAAAAAATGACGGTTAAATGCCTTTTTCTTGACTTCAAATGTATTTGTCTTATTCTTTTGGTAAATTAATTGAGATATGATGAATATATTTTTGTCAAGGTACTTCACTAATACTGTAAAAAACGGTACCTCACTAATTAGTAGAGATACTCATATACTTAACCTATGTGTGATATGATTGATTCATACAGTATATATCATTATTTCAAAGTTTACGTATAATTTATTTAAATTTTTAAATTGGACTTTATGGATAAATTAAACCTTAGTACTTTAGAGATTTTAATTTAAATGAAATTAAATAAATATTTAGTCTTTTTTTTCAAAATAAAGCTTTAGTCATTGTAAATATAGTGTATGTTGTTTTCATCCTTGCAGTTTTATTATTGTTTAACCCTGTCACTTTTCTTTGTAGTGTATTATCGATCATAACAACCTTCTTTTGAGGATGAAATAACTCCGATTGATTAGTTTAATATTGTTTTAACTCTCATATATATTAGCATAAAAAGTATAAAAGGATAAATTTTAAGTTTCATATATATTTAATTTATGCAAGGCTCGATTATTATTATTTTCTAAATGGAGTGTGCTTGGTCTCGGAGTTAGAGATAGACTGTAAAGACTAAAGATAATAGTATATACAACTGAGATGCGAAATAAAATAAAAATTTACAGCGATCGAAAATAAAATGAGTCATATGTTTAGGGACTAAAACATATACAAACCTAAATAATACTTCCTTCGTTCTAAAAAATTTGGTCATATTGACTTTTCTTGGTCAATGATATATGTTCAAGTTTGATCACAAATTATATACCATAGTATATTTTTTAGTATGTAATTATTTCAAATACGAAAATGTTTTTTTTACTTATAACACTTTCAAAAAAGTATAAAAATTATATGTTTCACATAAATGATGAATACAACATTTAAAATTATTTTTCAAATTTTATTATTATTGACCAATAAAATTCAAATTGATCAAATTAATGGGACGGAGGATGAAATAGAATATGGAATATCACAAATTTCTTCTTCCGCGAAAAAGTATAATCATTTGAAAGGCTTTTTACTCAGTCAATTGAGTTGTATAAGTTGATTTAGAATTGTTTATACTTAAAATTGTCAATAACGTTTAATTTATGGAATGCTGTTTATGAAAAGAACACGCACATATAATGATGCAGCCAGGTGGGATCGATGTAAATGATGTTTATGGGGAGTCAATGTCTGTGTGAAAAGAAAGAGTATGTTAAAACATTTGATAAAAAGAATGTTTTTTTTTTTGAAAAACTTGATAAAAAGAATGTTGTAAATGAAGTTTATAACTTTTGAAGCTAACGATTACTTTCAAATCAAGCATTACGGGCTTCCGGAGCGAGAGCTTAGCTCTCTAAATCTTCGGTCCTCCTAGGGCTTTGCCGCCGCTAGGCTTGTTTTTCCGATCTCGGCTTTTGGTTGAGGATCGAGAGCAGCAAAGTAGAGAAGACAGTTGGACGAGTGCAATTCATCTCGGCTAGGACCGAGGCGAAAGGCAGACGACACGGGCGAGCTGCGACGAGGCTGGAGCGATTTTCCGGCAACGTCCTTTTGTGGCGATTGGGCCTGGCGTTTCCCATCTCCGTAGGGCTTGGGCATCGAGATCGAAGGAGGACGGTTGCAGATGGAGATCGCTGGCATTGGTAAGCAGGGGATTGGCGATCAATTTGTCGCAGATGAGGAGAACTGAGCAGTGCAGGGTACGGACAACGCGGAGAAAATGATCGGTCTCTTCCTGATTGGTGCATCAACAATCGTTGAGAGGGTCAGGCCTCCTCCAGAACCACCGCCAAGGGTTGATCGACGCGTTTTGGAGTTTGCTTCTGATTTACCTTTTCTGCATTTTAATTTTCAAGTTAAGACGTTTGTGTTTTGTTGTTATTTTATTTTATGCTGTAAGACTTTTGCATTAGGTTTGGGGGATGGAAAGTCTGCAGTAACCTTCATTGGCTCTAAGTTGCCCAATTTTGGTCTAGCGAGTTATACTGCTTTTTTACAGGTGGTTAACTCTCAGTCTCGGCCACGGGCGGATGGTTACATGTGGTTCTTTTCTGCTTTTGTACCCTTGCTGAATGCTATTTCTATGAATTAAGTCCTCTTCGAGCAAAAAAAACAAAATTTTGAAGCTAACGAATTCAAGGAGATGTGGTAACGCCAAACCGTAAAAGTCTAAAGACTTATTTGACTTAGGTGATTTTGAGATTAGAAGAGGAGATGCATATATGATTGCTTTATGTGTTTTAAATTGATCTCATCTTGATAATTTTAGAGGAAAAACACAATAGTAAAAACAATATATGTAGAACTTTAAATTAATCGATCCTATAATCTCCATTTGTTAATGTACTTCAGTACTAATTAAGTAGTTAGAGCATTTTATCTATAATTGATTTTAAAAATGACCATTTTTAATTGAGTTGATCACACAAATAGATTTACGTGGATCATATCACGTTTTTATGTTACAAAAGATTTTGTTTTAAAGTATACTACGTATAATTTAGTGAAATCAATTATATCGGGATCATAATTACATGGCCTTTTTATTCTAATATTACTAAAATTAATGAAAAAGATAAAAATGTGACCTGGTTTTAGAAATTCTAAAAATGTGACTAACATCACCCCTAACCCTGCAGGTCAAAGTGACTCTGGTCAAAGTGACTCCGACCAAAGTGACTCCGGCCAAAGTAACTTCGGTCAAAGTGACTCGCCTTGCCGGTGACAGTGACTACCCCACCGGCGACAGTGACTACCCCACCGCCACAGTGACTGCTCCACCGCCACAGTAATTGTCCCACCGCCACAGTGACTGCCCCATCACCACAGTGACTGCCCCACCGCCACAGTGACTGCCCCATCGCCACAGTGACTTCGGCCACCGTGACTGCCCGGCCCGGCCATAGTGACTGGCCACCGGCCAGCCACAGTACTGCCCGCCCAACTCCATCACCACCATCCATGCCGAAAACCACCACCTCCCATCGCCTGCTGGCAGCGTTGGCCGCCAATCACAGCTCAATTTTAACACCAACCCCAGTGCCTCCCTAACACCAACCCCCTCCCCCTCCCCTGCATCACCCAAACCCCAGTCAGCATCCCCCACCCCTCACAACAGCCCCCAACCCCCAACCAGTCCTTGCAGATTCGCGTCGCGCGACCCCCACCCTGCGATCACAGACAGCTCCCACACAATCGCGAGCTCGTCGCGGACAGGGCACTGTCGCCGCCACTCGTCACCACCCCCCTGAGCATCCATCGCTGCACATCACGTAACCCTAGCCGCCGCCGTAGATCTATTGAGGACGGCGAATCCAGCAGTGGCAATGGCCATCGATGATGACTGAACCAGCGGCGGCCATCGTGGAAGCCTTAATCAGCGACGCCGTCCATCGAGGATGACTCCTCGACCTTCGTTGCTGGTCGATGCTGCTTGCGATCGAGGATGACAACTCCTCGATATTCGTTGGTGGTCGATGCTGCTTGCTGGTCATTGTTGTTCGATGCTACTTGCGGTCGATGGAGGATTCGAAGGTGGAGCTGCGATGGAGGAGGGTTGCGAGGTGTGGAGATGGGAGCTGAGATAAAGGAGGGCTGCGAATTTGGGAATGGGCTGGGTTACGGGGAAGAGTCTAGTCATATTTTAGGGAAAAAGAAAATAAGTCATGTTTTTTGAAATGGAAAGGTTATCAGTAATATTGAGGCAATTTTTTCTAATTACATTTAGCACTTTTTTTACAATTTGCATATGACTTAATTCGTAAGTCTCTATTAGTTAATACCTTCATTCTTTTAGTAAAATGAGTTTTGGTTTCCAAATGCAAGAAATATTTCAAAAGTTTTATATAAATATCAAACTTAAGGGTTGGATTTTGTTGGCAACATTTAAATGTCTTTGGTATGGGTAAATTTGTAATTCAATAGTGGGAATTTAGAGAATTGTGGCACAGGATTTGCGGCACTTTATTAGAACGCCTTCGGGATATAGACATGTGGCGTTTAAATATAGAAAGCCTTTAAAATAAAATAAAAAAATTAAAGGCCGGGTGCAGCGCTTATTTAATAAGTGTGTCAAATAAATTTTTGCGGCACCGGATTATGCGGCGCTTAAAAGTGATGCATGTGGGTAAAAAAAGCACCTCAAACACATATTTTACAATAGTAATTCCACAAGTTAGCTCATTAAACAAATCAAAAGTATTATGTATATGTATAAATTTTCAGTATTGGCATAGGTTGTAGTACATTGTATGGCGTCCGGCTCCTCTCCAGTGCATACGGTACTGGATGAGTCCAGTTGATTTATTAGAGAGATGACACATGGTCGCTTATTAAATCAATGGTCTGGATCTTACTTTTATCAAACCTTTCCCATATTCATTTTTAATTGCTACAGTAGCTTGACTAGCTTCACTACCTCTCTCCATCCATGCCATCTTATTTTCAGGAAAAAATCATAACCCTACCCGTTTTTTACTATCTTCATTCTTTGGGTTTATTTTTCTATTCTTCACTAGCAGAGGATTACTTTTCACTACAACTGAAAACATAATCTGTTTCTTATTCAATATTTAAAGGTTTGGATTAATCGGTATTAGTAATTTTAATTGGAAGTTAGAATGTACTGATATTGCTAGTTTGCAAACTTATTAAATTAAATATGAAGCTTTTGTTTTATTCGTTACTTTTGTGGATAGGAGTTTGGGACTTTGATGATTATTCAAATTGCGTTTTAAGGTTTAAATACATTTTCAGTCCCTGTAAATATCCTCGTTTTGTTTTAGGTCCTCGTAAATTCTTTTTATTTTTATTTTTCATCTCTGTAATATGCACTATTTTGTTTTTAGTCCATCTCTAACTTTGAAACACTTCTATTCAGAAAAATGTTATTTTCAGTTGTATATATAAATCTACCATAAACATACTACCTCCGTCCCAAAAAACTTTGCCATTTCAAAAAAATTGAACCATGATTTTGATTAGTATAATATCATGGAAGTTAATAATTTTATACTTATATGAAAGTACTTTTAACAAAGAACATTTTCATATGATTTTTATATTATAAATAATTTTCAATAAAAAGATATAATTGGTCAAAGTTTTGAAAATGGAAAAGTTTTTTGGGACGGAGGTAGTATAAATTTATCCTTTTATAATTTTTTGAGGCTAACATGAGAGTTAAAACAACGAAAAACTGATTCTTTACATTTTTAAATTATGTATAAAAAACTTCTAAAATTAATTAAATAGTTTTTGAGTAATATGATAAAGAATTAGAAGAAACACATTAGCCGGGAATGTTTCATTGTCAATTCAAACGGAGATTGTTATCAGTTATCACTGGTGATGGACTAAAAAGAAAACTAACTTCAATTTTAGAGGTGAAAAACAAAAAAAAATTGCAAAGATGTGAAACAAAATGTATTACATTTACAGGGACTAATAATATAAAACCATTTTTTAAATTTAGATATTGGGCGTGTTTGGCATTTAGCGGTTAGCAGTTAGCGGTTAGCGGATTATGTTAGCGGGTTGTCAATACCGGATTCAGTCAACGGGTTTGACTAACGGAATAAATTAGGCCTGGGACCGGTTCGGTTCCTAGGCAAAATATGTGGAACCGTTTGAAAATATGAAATTTTACTAACGGTTCGGTTCTTATAAATTATTTTATAGAACCGATAAGGAACCGAACCGTTCTTAACGGTTCGGTTCTTGTCATTTAACGGTTCCTAGTTTTTGAAAAAAATCTTACAAATTACAACTAAATTTTTGGCAAAAATACATTCAACGTTGGAAATTACAATACAAATATGTTGAACCAGTTAAGGAGAACTAATAATTTTAAATAGTTTGGACCTTTCGAGTTCCGACCCGCTGGAGTTTGGACCTAATGAGAGGCCTAAGAAGTCTAAGAGAACCGGTTGAATTGAATAATAGTTTTAAATAGTTAAATAACAAAACTAAAAAAATGAATGTAATATAAAATAAGTAAGTAAATATGCATTAAAATATATATACTCCTAAGAATATGTATATAATTTTAATTATTATATATAATGGTTCCTTAACGGTTCTTGGTACATATTTTTTTCAGGAACCGAGAACCGAACCGTTAATAAAAAATAGGAACCGAACCGTTAACAAATAACTAATAAATGTTGGAACCGAACCGAACCGGGTCATAACGGTTCGGTCCGGTTCGGTTCTCCGGTTCTTGGTTCCAAAGTCCCAGCCCTAGAATAAATTGGCGGGTTGTCAGAAAATGTTTGATAACTTAGCGGCCTTGGCCATAAAATTGATTAGTACAACCGCCATTTTTCTAAATGTCAACCCAAAACTCTCTTATTAGCAGCGTTTCCAATTCAGCGTTTCTGTCCAAAAACGCTATACCGAACAGCTATTTACCAAACAATTTTTCCACTCATTGAAAATAATGAAAGTGATCAAACCGCCATTTTTCGGCTGAAACATCATTTACCAAACACCCCATTAAAGTGATGCTTGTGACTTTGATGTTTGTTTCCTAGAAATTTCATTCAAATCCACACTATTTTTTCGTTGATTTGCTTAGCTATATTATATACGTAAGTAATTTAACAACTTTATTAATTTGGTGAATTACTCATTCTCTGAATTAAGCAATTTTTAAACATTCAATTAAAGAATTCATGAATTATCTAAAGCTAGTAGGACCACAAATGGAATAGAAAAAATAAAATAAAATAAAAAACAAATCAGTAACTTAAGTACTTCATCGTTGTTACTTCATAGAAGTAAACTTGTACTCCGTACAAGTCAAAACAATGAAAAGGAGTGGGCAGGTCTCTGAGTACATCGTAGAAGAGAGAGGATAAATACAAGCCTTTGATTTAATAAGTGGGTATGTGGCATCTCTATGATAAATCAACTGGAATTGTCCAGTACCGTATGTACTGGAGAGGAGCCGGACTCATTGTATGCTACCTTTATTCTTAAAATATTCACATGTTTCTACTTTAAGTATGTTTTATATATTAAATTATTAATAACTTATTTTTAAAAATATTTTGAAGTTTGTCTCATCGTAAACTTTCAAAATATGATTCTTTAGTTTTTTCAATAGATAATTTATTGTATTATGCATATATCAATAGTTAAATTGTGGATTGCCATGAAGAACTAGATTGTTTTATCTAAGAATGTGGTAGTACTTTGTACCGAGTATATTTTTATTTTAAACACGAAGAAAAATAAAGTTACCTTCTTTTTTGAAGAAGATTTTGTGCACCGTTGCATACAAATAGACAGTGATTTTGGTGGGATCAGCGTATTCCAACAAGTCAGCGGCGGTGTGTCTGTACCCATTTTCGTCAAAGATTGTGCCGCCAACCTTAGTCCCGTAAAGATGTTCGTACGTAAACCCATTGTACGGCAACACTCCGGCTTCTAGAAGCCCATCTCTCACCGCCGACTGCCACGCCAGCATAGGCGGCTGAAACGCCACTTTCCTCTCCACCCATTCGTACGACTCATTGACCAACGCCTGATCCCACCCCACGTTTTCCACGTACCCTCTACTTGCCCGAGTGTAGAACCCGGCGTTCAAGGCGGAGCCGCCGCCCAAAACGCGGGCCCGATGGTTGAAAACGCCGTCCGTGGAGACGAATAGCTGGGAGGCGGAGTCGGGAGATGTGTCGGCAAGGGTTCTGGCGAAGCCGTCTATGTTGGTTATGTTAGGGTTTCCGTACGGCAACCCACCTCTCTCTAACAACAAAACTTTGGCCCCCTCCGACAGAGTCGCCGCTAATGCACACCCGGCGGTTCCACCTCCGATGACTATGTAATCGAAGTACTCCGTCATCGGAGCCAACGTTGCATTCTTGGCAAACGAGGTATAAGGAGCTGCACACACATAACCACAAACAAACATACTTTGAGTTGGTTTGGATGAGAGCGTGTTAGGTAAAAACATTGTTTTTTAACACTACAAACGCTGCTAATTGCAGCGTGTAGGGATGAAAATGTCAAAAAAACAAACAACCCCTTTAATTCCATATTTTACTATTAATTGCCCTAATTACTTACAAACAACTATTGGTGCATGTTATATAGAATTATTCAAAGTCATTTGTGAATTTGTTATTGTCTTTTCAATAATTGCTCAAAATACGAGCAAAATACGAAAAGAGTTTTAAAATGGGGGCCGGGGTTTTCCAAAAATGAAAAGAGTAAATAAAACTTATTTACACAAATATGAATAATAATTACTACAATGCAGTGTCATGATAACTTAAGTTTAAAAATTGAACATAAGTTACTATGATTTCATTACTCCTCTAGTCACATAGTCACATTTTTGTAAACAGGCTTTATTTTAGTCATAAATATGTATTTTTTTCTTAAAAATAGAGCTAATTATGTGAAAGTGTTTTTCAAAAAATATACATTTATTACTTCTGATGTATTTAAGTGGGAAACCATTAGTTGTCATATAAGGTTGTTTGAACCATTCTCAAGATATTTCATAAGATATTTCTCTAGGATTAAAACTTATGAAGAATCTCAAAATATTACCAGACACATATGATTTTTTTCTCGATATATGATCAGGCACATGTGGAAAAATAAGAAAAATAAATGTAGATGATATGGTTACAAGTCATATGTCATCATATTAGAAAAATACATATGAGACATATTTTGGGAAACATATAAGGTTTTAGTAATCAAGAGTAATTTCCTCAAAAGAAAATCAATAAAAGTTTTCTCTTTTTGAAGTAATGACTCACGTTTTGAAGAAAACATAGTGCTCTTATACGAATAAATGTGTTATGTTATATATATTCTATGAATAAATCGATAAAAGCTTTTATGCAAAAATGACATTCAAAAAGATTTTATTTTCCTACAAGCAATCAATTAAGTAATCAAGCTAAGTAAAGTTATAACATGGAGACTTGCAAGAAATGTGAGAATTGATCAATTTATGAACATTGTACGCACCTTGCTCGGAGACACAAGAAGAAATGAAGAAGAGAAATGCAAAGATAGACGAGCTCCGAATCATGTCAATAATTATTTTCATAAACTAAGCAAGAAAACAAAGGTTGTAAATTGTATTTCTAAGGCTTGGCCAGTTTTTATGAGTCGCATATAGTGAAGACGGATTGTTGGTGAATTATTATTGTGACCTAATCTTACCTAACCTAACCAAAACACACTTATCTAGCTAGCCTCATTTATACAACAAAAAAAGAATATGAGTTAGCCGAACAACATTAATTTTTAGAAAGAGGTGCGAAGATTTTTTTGGAAAACACACATTCATTTCATAATAATAAACTATACGTAATGGTAGAGAAATAAAGAGTGGGAGTTGAGGATTCAAATATTAAATGATTATTAAACAACAACAAGTTGAGTATAGTTAAGGTTTCACGGAAAGATACTCAAAGTAAATTAAATTGGTCTCCTTTAAGTAGTTGGAAATTTTGATAGTTGGCTATGCAGATCGAAACGGACACTCTTTACTCTTGCCTTAATTGTAATTTCCAACTCTCACCTGTCTCCAAACATACAATACATCATGCGGTCATACATATACCAGTTCATGCGTTACACTTAATTATATGTGTTACATTTAATTATATGACGAAAATCTAGAGATGGATCTTATGAGTAATTATATATTGTAAAAACCGAACTGGACCAAGCGGGTTGACCAGAACCCGGCCACCTGACCAAAAATTCAATTTGGTTTAATATCAAACCATTAATTTGGCCAAAACCGGAAATGCGCGATAACCCAGGTGACGGCGCGACGCACACCCACGAGGGATCTAGAGAGGGTAAAATTTGCCAAATGCTAGAGTTTTTTGAGCTTCTCCGTGCCCACTTCAAACAAAGAATGTCTTTTAAAATCCCAATTTTAACAAATGGACTTGATCTTTTTCATGACCCTAAGAGTCAACGTTGAAACAATTGGTTCAAGGCACCTAATTGACCTACGATATTCATCATTAAGCATGGCAAAGTGTATGAAAATATCAACCTCATTTCAATATTCAAGATCTGGACATATTGTTACCATTAATCACTACAAAAAAATAACGTTGTAGTCACGGATTTAGTCACGGACCGCATTGTAAAAAATCTGTGACTAACTCTTTTAGTCACGGAAAAAATCCGTGACTAAATCCGTGACTGTTTGGGCGTGACTAAATTTAGTCACGCCAAATTGTCCGTGACTAAATGTAGTCACGAATTAGTCACGGACCAGATCCGTGACTAAAATGTCACCGGAATAGCTGCTCCGGCCCTTTAGTCACGGCTAAGATCCATGATTACTTTTTTTTATTAGTCACGGCCGTGTCCGTGACTAAGATTTTACAATCAAATCAGTAGAGGTTTTTGAGAATTGAATCGAAAATCTTAAGATTTTACAAAACCTATATTCATATTCACAAAATAAATAAATGAAAACAAAGACACAGGTTAATGATAATAATTAATTCATCACATTATATTAAACTATACATATGAGGTGGCTATAAATAACATTAAAAACTATTTTACGATGTAAATGGAGCGAATAGTAAACATCAAACATATATAAGACACAAAAATAGTTAAATGATACAAGTTTCCATTACTTTCACTAAATATATTATTGATCTTACTATTAGGGGAATTATACATCAAGATCTAATAGTTAATTTACCCATCACTACAATTTTGCTACAATATTACACGAATTTGTAAGGTTTTATGAGTTTATGATTTTACACGCGATCCAAATTGATTTATTAGTGCAGATTGTAACGTTGTACAATTTTACGATTTATAATCCGAGTGTTAAGGACTTTAAGTCCTAGGGTCCTCCACCAATTTATAATATGAGTGTTAATGACTTTAAGTCCTAGGGTCCTCCACCAATTTATAATATGAGTGTTAAGGACTTTAAGTCCTAGGGTCCTCCACCAATTTATAATATGAGTATTAAGGACTTTAAGTCCTAGGGTCCTCCACCAATTTATAATATGAGTGTTAAGGACTTTAAGTCCTAGGGTCCTCCACCAAGTTTATAATCCTATGATCAACCTCCTATCAACCTAGATAGAATCTATATCATATTTATTCATTCATAGCTAAATCAACCCATAAAGCTTATGTATTTCAATCCATGCAAAGCCATGCACTTATTTAGATTTATAATTAACTAATACCAACCGGTATTGGTTAATCCCTTATTAATCGGTCAACGTTTTCGTTGACCGTTATTTCATGTCTTATACGTATCAACTTAATCATATATATGTATATTAAGTTAATAACTTTCATTTGTGCTTCTCCTACACTTCAAACAATATGCATTTCTATATAATTCCTCACATCATATTTCATGCATAAACAATTAATTCATTTCATACAACCTTAAAAATTGTGGCTAATCACATGTTTAAATATCTTTTAAACATCATTATGAATATATAACATTTATTTAGGTAATATCATAATTAACCCAAAAGTTATAAGATATTAAGCCGTCCACTCACCTCGAATTGGCGCTATGAAGTTCTACCCCTCTCGGTTGAACTCCGGTGAAACTCCGGCGACTTTTGACGAACTCCGGCGACTCTTTCAACTTTGTAAAAGTTTTTTAAATGCCTTTCACAAGTTTCTAACAAGATTTTATAATCATAAAACCCATATTAATACAAATAACCTATAAAAGGTTATTTTTCGACGAACCGGTCGTTTTGGCTCCTAAGTCCGTTCTTGGACATAGAACCACCTTCCAACCCATAAATCCATACTTATAGCATGTGGAACCATACTAAGGGTCCTTCATATGATATATACCTCATATGGTAGAAGAAAAATAAAGGAAAAGTTATAATAAGGTCATTACCTTAATTTTACACACTTTTCCTAGCTTTTTTCCTTCTTTAATCCCCTCCTTGGACCCCTCTTGCTTAATCTCGAGTTGCAGCAATGGAGAAAGGTTGGAGAGCTTTTTCTTCCTCTTTCTTGGGTAGTTTGGCCGAAATAATGATGAGGGGAAGGGGGGATGTTCATTTTTTGTCTTAATTGGCAAATAAGTGATGGGAGAGGTCATCTATGTACTTTAGATGCCAATACTATCTCTTCAGCTCCCTCCCTTGTCTATCCAGACCTATTTGGTTAATTGAAGCACACAAAAACGTGGGGTGGGCCCCACCCATGTGGGAGGTCGTCCCATTTTGTCCCGACGTGTACAATCGGTCCCGAAAGTTGTATTTTTCAGACTGTTTTAACTATATTTTATTTTATCGGGCCAAATAAAATATATCTCACTCTCAATCATAACGCCCCTTTGAAATAATATATATTACAAAACTTTAATTTGGAAGTCTCCAAAATTCATTTTCGGGCTGTTATCTGTTAAATTACCAATACCGGTATTTGGGTCTCTTTTGACCAATTGGTCAACTCTGGGCCTTTCCACGACCCAAATGAAATATCCACCACCATATAAATATTATCTTGACCAAGATGAATAAAATATGTGGTCTCGGGAACGTTGGGTGGCCCCCACTCCCGGTGTGGGCCCCACGTGCAATTTACTATTCACGCGAAAGAAATAACAAAAATTTACAACTTCGTAAATTCATTAACCATTTAGGGTCTGTTTGTAACAGCTTCTGCTTTTAAAAAAGTGTTTTTTTTAATGAAATGAGGAGAAATGATTAAATAAAAGTTGATAGTGTTTGGGAAAAAAGTGATTTTGAAAAGTAAAAGTGGGTAGTGTTTGGTAAAATAAGTGCTTTTTGTGTAATAGAAAAAATAAAAGCACTTTTGATGCGGAAGCCGAGAAAAATAAAAGTTGTAGTACTTGGGAAAATAAGTGTTTTTTTAAAGCCAAAAGTTGAGAAGTGCTTTTTTAAAAGGAGTTGCAAACCAACTCTTAATACGGTTCAATACATTATTTACTTAAAAGTAAATATATTTGGGGACGGTGTTACAACCATCACAATACCAAAGTGCAAATTTCTATATATGAGTAATAGTGCATCTATGCAATTAACAAATTGAATATTTTGAGTCTATTATTTGTATAAAATAACGATCTAAATGAATCAACTATTAAAGGAATACAACAATTTTCAATGTTTGAAATGCATTGCATTTAATGATCCTAGTGATATGAAATATGTGAGTGATGGTTCCTTAATATCCCAATTAAACACTAATGAATATTAAACTTTTATCCTTAATGCTATAGTCTTTCCTTCTCCCATTATAATCGTCATTCAAAGGTCAAGTTAAATACAAGGTTACCACACCTTATTTGCATTCAATCTTTGCCTTTAGTTTTATAAATTTGATGGTTAGTTTTCATTCTTTTTTCTCTATTGGGACTCCATTCACACCGGAACCTTCCTTTTTTAAAAAAATTGTCTGAAACATGTTAAACAAAAGTGTCATTTCATTTGTATCACATTCATAACAGAATAATTCAATTTCCCTTAGTTCTAGACATGATCAACTAGTTGATGGATGTTCTCATCACTAAACTACTCTCGCGTGCCTTGTTTGACTACCTTCTTTTATAAGTTTGGCCTTACTTGTTGGTCATTCATTTTGAGAGCTATAATGTGGGATATATTAAATATTCCGTCTGTTTTTCAAACCTTTGTCAAGTTTGACTGGAACGAAAAATAATAAAGTAAAACTTTAAACATTGTACTCCCTCCGTTCCAATTTGATGGTCTCGTATTTCCTTTCTAGGCTGTCCCAAATTGATAGTCTCATTTCCCTTTTTGGAAAGAAAGATGTGGTCCACTTTATTTCAACCACAACTTTTACCTTTTCAACCACTTCCTTAATCTTTGAGTCCAAAAGAAATGAGACTCTCATTTTGGGATGGAGGTAGTAGTATATTATCATAAGTGACAATATTATCAAAACTTTGCAGTAATTACTCTTCTTAGGGAACAAAAACATAGCACTCATATTTTAGAATTTCCAAAGGTTTTTACTCATATTAAGGTCAATTTCTTTTTTAAATAAAAATATAACTAATATCCAACAAATCAAATTGTATTTGAAGAAAAGATTAAAATACTAAAAATACTAAGAAATAATATCAAATTAGTTACAGACATAATAAGCAAGTAAGCAAGCTCATCAGAAAACATGTTGCTCATAGACACTAGGAGACCTTTGGAGGATATTATGACGCATATATTTATATACTACAAAGAAAAGGTCAAATAGTCTCTTCTACTATTTACAATCCAACACTTAAGACCTTATACTAAACACAACATCAGATAAGTACGCTTACTTTTAAAATACAATCAATCAAGTCATTCTGAGATCTTATATAGCAGGTTAGTTTTTTAAATAGATTAGGATTATTCATAAATCTTATAAAATTCCTATAGATTTCAAAACTAATGTGATAATGTAATAATATAAAAATAATATAAATGTAAAAGTAAGTAAATAATTCAATAACATTAAGATTAAAATAATAATAAAAAAAATTAAATAAATAAAGTGAAAAAAGTAAAAAATTAAATATGTAAAAGCTTCTTACTCAGGGAATCCTTGATTACGTTTCAATTTTTTTCATTGTGGCTCGACGAAAGTTCAAATCCAATTCTTGAGATGGCAGTGATCTATAATAGGAAGAATTCTTCTGCAGCTGATTACTTTTTTAGTATTTGAATGATTTTAGTAAAAGATTGGGCCACATTAACCTTTTAAATAGATGTAGAATATAAAAATAATTTTCAAAATGCAAAAAAAAAAATTGTCTTCAACATTCTAGTCACAATTTTCAACTATATCTCTTCAAATTTAAACATTTTTATGTTTTTAATTTAAAAACATGCTATTACATGTGAAAAAGTGATTAAATGGCCAAAGTTGATCTTTTTTTTAAAGTAAGCATACTTATAGGGGCTTAAGTGATGTATTGAAAATAGTAGAAGTACTTATTTGACCATTTTCCCTACTTATATATAATGTTCGTCGATTGACCATCACTAAAAGCCCAAATACAACAAACAAAGAGAGTGGTGGTGGAAGCACCCCTCAAAACCGTTGTGACTTCGTTCCCCTCTTTGACATCCGTGGCAACATGCATCACAAATAGGAGTTGGAGACATTGAAAAGATAGAGTCATTGAGCTCGAGATGGTTGTGGGACTGTCGTCTACCATTTTCCAACCTTCATCACCTCTGGCTGCTGACCCGACTTCTAACCCGATTTTGTCCCGTGCTTTTGCGCGGAAAGTAAACATTTCTCGCTTGCTTTCGTATATAGATAGAATATGAAAATTAATCCGTATAAATTTTATATTTTTATAAAAGTATTGTTGAAAAAATGTGCTAAAATTTGCATTACATGGTCATTTTGGGGAATGTTTTTGGGTGGGGTCCACTTTCGATTTGGGTCAGGTCAAAGTTGTTGCGGATTATCCTTGTTAAGAGCTACAATTCGATATATGGTATGCTCAAAACAGATAACGGGTGAATGAAAATTGATTCTCGAAGTTTACCCGTTAGAATGGAAAAACTAGGAAAAAGGATGAGTTTCTAGTGTGTTATTTCTCACACCGAAAAACCCAAGGGATTTGGAACCCCTAACAAAGAGATGCCTCTTTTAAGGAGTTAAGATTCCTAAGGTGAAAGGCTCTCTCTTGCGCGGGGGGGGGGGGGGGGGGGGGTGAATCAAACCCCGAATCAAGAGATACGGTGTAAATTTTGCATGTTTTCTTCCCGTAACGTTTATTTTTTCCCAGTGAACAGAATTGCTCAGACAGAAACCCGCGCCTGAACTGCTTCGGACAGAACACATCACAACAGAACACCTGCGGGTGTTCTGGTCACGCACGTTACAACAGAACACCTGGGGGTGTTCTGGTCGCACGGTTCTCATCCGTTACAGCAGTTAATGTCCAACGTTCGTCTCTTTTAATGCAGCGTTACATGGACAGTTCATGGATGATTCAATGCCCAACGGACTGGTCATTGATGTCCAACGTTCAGGTCCATTAATCTGTCATTAACACACAACAAATCCTCCTATATGATGGCTGGCAGGTGCTTTACAACAACACACGTTCATACACATTCCCCACGTATTTTTGAGCTCTAAAACGCCTCCAACATTCCGAAAATATTCTTAGTGTTCATACTGTGTTTCCGTTTCCTGGAACTTTCGTTTGTGTGCTCAAACGATAGTTTGTTAGTCATCGTATCCTGGGAAATGATCGTTGCAACGCTCCTAGGACCGTGGGAGGCGACAATTACGTTTTAAGGACATCATGCGTAGCACGAACTTTGGCTGAAATTCTGCTCCATCTTATTTCTGTTTTTCTTTCGTCATTTTATTAATTATTTTATTAATTAATATTCTTTATTTTCCGAAACATACCCAACAAGTATATTTAACAAAGAACATTTTAATACCATTTTTATATTATAAATAATTCTCAATAAAAATTATAGTGAGTCAAACATTGAAGATGATAAAGTTTTAAGTTACACAAAAAATGTAGGATAAAAGGTACTCCCTCCGTCCCCTTTTAAATGTCCCGTTTTACTATATTGGGATGTCCCTATTTAATTGCCCCATATCTTATTTGGTAAACTTTGTGTGGCTTAAAATCATTCTTACTTTATTCTTACTTTATCAATTAATATCAACCACACAAACTCACTTTTCTTAAAACCCGTGCCACCATCTCCCGTCCCCTTTAAAAGGGAACGGAGGGAGTACAATTTTTGTTACTAATGGGCCGTTGCATTTTGAACCCTATCAACAAGTACTCGCAGTATTTAAAGTTTTTAAATCTCAAACAAAGTAACCTATTTTATTGGGACCTTAATTTAAAATAAAAAGTTACACAACTGGCTACTTTTATTTTTATTACTCCCTATAATATATTAATATATACTGTATATATAGTCAGTGCAGAGGAAAAGAAACTCACCCTTTTGCCAATGAGCAATGGCCACCCAAGAAGAGGTCAAATTACTTTTTTCTCTTTTTCTAAAATAGGGAGTATGATTGTATGATAGATGTAAATATGTAATCATAATAAGGTACAGCTAAGCATAATCTT